CGCCGGAGCTCGGGCAGCTCCAAGGCGCCCCCGGCAGCGCACAGCACCTGGGTGATCTCACCGCCGAGGACGGCCGCCTGAGCCATGGCCGCGGCGGCGGGGGAGAGCGACCAGAGCCTCCGCCCGTCGGACCGCGGGACTGAGGCGACGCCTGCTGCGGCGAACTCGGGCGGCTCCCGCGAGGTGAAGATGCCGGCGGGAAACGAAACCGAAAGCGGCCTGGGCCGGGGCCAGTAGAACCTGTGCGGCCTCGCCACGCCCACGGCCCGCAGCTGAGCCGGCGCCTTCGCTTCAGCGCCTCAGCTGCTCGCCGGCCCGACGGGAAGGCCGGCGCTCGGGCTAGGCCGCCGGCTGGGGCTCTCGCGGCCTTCCGGGGGCTCTTCACAAGGCCCCGACAGGGCTTCGCTGGGCCTGTGAGAGGGTGGGCGCCACTTCCTTCACGGCAGCGCTCGGCGACGCCCCAAGCGCCTCACGCAGACGCCGGCGATGGCCCAGACGCCGGCGCGCACTCAGCCACCTCAGGAGCGGCCCCGCAAGCCCCCGGCCCTTCCCTCCGGCCCGCTGCGGAGCAGGCTGGGACGCCCGCCCGTTAAAGGGGCCCAGAGGTCGCCTAAGCCAGCCCGGGGCTTCCTGGACGGCTCACAAAAACGGAGACAACGGACGTGGAAACAGTCCCTCCGAACTGCAGTCGAATTGCCTGCAGTGAAGTCCTTATTTTCAACATGAGAGAGTATATGTCCTCTTAAAAAGCAAATCCGTTTCCGCTCTCCCCCCCCCCCCCCCCCCGCCGCCGTCCCCCGCCAAATAAAGATTGAACAAGTATTTTTAAAGACGCTTCAGAGCGAAGGACTCTAAGGACTCGCGCTGTCAGTCACGCTGCCGGTGGAAATGTGGTCGTTAAAGCCCTTAGGGAAAACAATCCGGGAATAGCTATTAAAATTTAAAGCGCCCGTGACTTTTGACCCAGCGATCTTTCTTCTGGGAATCTTCCAGAAGTTAAAGGAACAGTAAACAAATTATGTACAAAGGTGTTTATGGGGCAGGGGTGTATGGTACTGGAACAATGTGGCTGGTAATTATGCAGATTGTAATACAGCTTTAACAAGCTGAATTAAATCCATCTGTTGACCTAGAAGGACATCCATGATGTGTTAAGCAAAAAAAGAACGCCTTGGGCCGGCCCGGTGGCGCACTGCTACAGTGCGCCGCTTGGGAGTGTGGCGGCACTCCCGCCCAGGGTTCGGATCCCACATACGGATCCCACATACAGACCGGTTCCCGCTCACTGGCTGAGCGAGGGGCGGGCGCAGCACAGAGGGTTGCGATCCCGTTGCCGTCAGGTAGGGGCGTGACACTGAGGGTTGCGGTCAGTTGCCAGACACGAAAAAAGACAAAAAGAAAAAAAAAAAAAGAACGCCTTATAGAAATGTCTAAATCCATACCAAAAAGAACCCTATTTGTGTGTTTAACCACACTGGTTGTAGGGAGTGGGCAGTAGGAGGTACTAGAAAAATGGAAAAGGTGGAAAAGGGAAGATGAGGGCCAGGAAGATTGGGGGTGGGGGGATATTTATGGTATAGCATTAAATTAAAATGAACGTAAAATTCCAGCTATAGTATTTGCAGTGGATTGAATGGCCCCCAAAGTCACTGAAGCTTAATCTCCATTATAACTGCTGAGAGTGGGAAATCCTAGTATGGTAATTGAAAGGTGTGGCCTTGAAGAGGTGATTGGATTGTGAGGACTATGACTAGTGAATGTATTGATCCAGTGACTAATAAATTGATAGGTTAATGGTGGTCATGGAAGTGGTTCTGATGGCTTTAAAAGGAGCCAAGTGAGAAGGTTAGCTCTCTCTCTGCTCTGCCATTCTGCCATGTGAGACCCCTGGGTCACTGTCACCGTCACCAAGAATCTCACCAGATGTGTTCCCTGGACTTTGGACTTCCCAGCCTCTCAAACTATAAGCAATAAATTTCATTTTCTTATAAATTACCCAGTTCCAGGTATTTTGTTATAAGCAACAGAAACAGTCTAATATAGCTTTACTACAAAAATGTAAAAAATTAAGTGTATGAATGAAAACCAGATGGTAATATGGACAAATGAAAATGGATTGATTTAATTAGGGAATGTGATGAGGAGCAATCTTTCTCTTGGATTTTAATTTTTTAATTGAATAAAAATTTTTAATTTTGATTTTTAATTTTAGTTGTGGTTTCAATATTGTTTTGCAGCAAAATAACATTTTATAAAAGGAAAGGAAAGGTGATGTCAGTGGATGACACATGGTGTCAAAATGGTGGATTAACCTAAAAAATGTTGCACTTCCATAAAAGTAATGAAAAAACTGGCAAAAATGGTCAGAATTAACTTTTTCAGAGCTCTGGAAATTAACCAAAGGCTTGTAACAATCCACCTAACATTCAGTCAAGAAAAACAGCTGACTCTCAGTAAGAACTGCAATCTTTATTACATTTTAACTTACACTAGTCCCATCTCACCATCTCCAGCAACATGGCAGCCTTAAAAAATAGCATCCCACATTGCCAGTACCTGTACCAGAAGGAGAAGACAGGGCTGGAGTTCTTTCAAAGCCTCATTGAAAGGAAGAGCTGTTAAAAAAAATTTTTTTTAATTGAAACATATTGATTATACATATTTATGGGGTACAAAACTACATTACAATAGATGTATACAATGTGTGATGATCTAATCAGGGTAACTAGCATATTCAACATTGCACAACTTAATCAGTCCTTTGTGATGTGAACATTTGATCTCTTCTCTGAAGAGTCTTTATGACATATCCATTGGTTCCTTGGAAGATCCCCCCACCTCCTCAAAAACAGATTTGTCCTTATTTGACCTCAGTGGAACTAGCCCAGTTTTAAAGGTTTCTCCCCCAGGAGGGATGAGGGAGAGGTGTTTGTGAAATGTTTTAACATCATGACTGACTGAGGCAATGGATAACAGTTGCAGCAAATAATAGACTAACCAAAAAGCTTTAAAAGGAAAGCTGAAGAATGAGATGTCAATAGAGGCCTTAAAAAGCTCCAGCATATTTCTAGGAAGTTCATCTTCATGCATAGTGCTGTGCGCATGATCAGGAAACACCTGAGAATCTAACCACTCACTGCTAGCTGACATTGAGGCTCTGTACAAACAAGAAGTAAAAGCTATACACAGTTGCAAACTGCTTGAGTATCGAAGGCATGCCCCCAAAGGCACACAGAGCCCCTTGGCAGAGACTAGGAGACTTATTGGTTCCAGGCATTTAAGGAAATCTCCATCCAATCATTAGCTGACCACTAAGCTAACCAAGTAGAGACTTCAGTAGTCACATATAGTGAAGACAAACTTTACAAAATTAGTTCAGAAAAGTCACTAAACAAATAGCAAGTACTACAACAAGCAACAACAACAAACTCTGAGGAGAGGGGAGAATCTGACTTTGGGAGTTGCCACATTATTTGAAATGTCCAATTTTCAACCAAAAATTATAAGATATGTAAGGAAACAAGAAAGTATGGCCCATACAAAGGAAATAAGTGTTATTAATAGAAATTGTTCCTGAGGAAGCCTAGATGTTGGACTTTGTAGACTAAGACTTTAAATCAGCTATTTTAGACATATTCAAAAAAGATAGAGGAAACCATTTTTTAAAAATTAAAGGAAAATATGAGAATGAAGTCCCACCAGAGAATGTTAATAAAGAAACAGAAATTATATAAAGCAACCAAATAGAAATTCTGGAGCCAAAAGATACAATAACTGAAATGAAATATTCACTAGAGGGGTTTGACAGTAGATTTGAGCAAGCAAAAGAAAGAACAGCATACTTAAAGATAGGTCAATTGAGATCATCTATTCTCTGTAAAAAAAAGAAAAAAGAATGAAGAAAAATGAGCAGAGAGGCTTCTGGTCAAGATGGCTGAATAGACAGTCCCCACTGTCACTCTCTCCCACAAAAACCAATTTACAACTATAAAAAAACAACAGCCAAGCTGGGGATGCTAGAGCTCAGGGGAAGAGGAGGAGAGACCTACAGAGTGCATGAAGGTGGGAGAAGCCATGATGAGAGAAAGAAAAAATCACTCCCACCATTTCATGCTGAGGCCACTTTAAGACTGGAGCTGCTGAGTGCACAGAGCAGGAGGCAGCAAAAGCTGCAGCTGTGCCCTTCGGATGAAGTTGCTTGGAGGCAGCAGGGGAGAAGAGGACCCCAGGCCTGCAAGACCATTAATAGGGTTCCTGTGGACCCCCACAGGAGCAAGGAGCCACAACAACTGAAAAACAGGAGCCACTCAGAGGCCGGTGAGTCATTGCAAGGGACTGGTGCATGGCCCATCCCATGGGAAGTGTTTGTAGCACAGACAGTGGGGCAGATGGGCCCACTGGGGGAACACTGGGGCACATCAAGGAGGACAGCTGACTGGCACCCCAGTCAGCGAAGGACCACTCACAGGAGACTGATCAGGAATATAGAATTGCATGGGGTGCAGTTTGGTGAAAAGACTCAGGCCCAGATCAGAGTTTCTATACAACCCAGCTGCACCAGGTCTCTGGAGAGCCGGAAGCACCTATAAAGTCAACCATTAAAACCTCAGCTGCACAAAAAGCCTTCCCTAGGGAATCAGCAGCAAAGCAGCAATTTAGCTAAACCACACAGCTCAAATACTGGTCCCCACAGGAAGTTCCCCTACTTCAGAAGTAAGCAAAGAACAAAAAATTAGTTCTGGTCCAGGCATACCGCCAGCACCTTGGGGCCCACCTGAGGACCTGATGCATGGATCCGGGGACCAGACACCCACCCCACCCCCCACAACCAGGCACAACACCAGTGCCTTGGGGTCTGCTTGGGGACCTGAGGCATGGAACTGGGGACTGGACCCCCCCACAACCAAGCACACTACCAGCACCAAGGAGCATGCCGAAAACATCACCTCCATGTGGGTGCCCACCACACCCACAATAACCACACCTGCTGTGAAAGCAGCTAGATGCCACAACCACCACTCAGATGGTCCACCAGCCACTGGAGTGCATTGACACAAGGAGAGTCACCAGCAGAGACCAAAGAAAAGAAGAGGATATCTCTCTCCACAAAGCCCGTTTCAGAGTGACAGAAGAAGCAAGTGCTCTATGATAATATTGGGGGACCTGAACACACCTCTCAGCATTGGACAGATCATCTAGGTGACAAATCAACAGAGTAACCATTACTCTTTCAGAAGAAGAGAAGAAATCTAGGGTTATCAGACATGGGAGGGTGGAGGGAGAGGAAGATGGGGAGAGATTGGACAAGGGGCATAAGGAATAAGTACAGTTTGTAACAATTTATATGCTAATAATATTAATTTGATCAACATATGTCAATGTTGAACCCCCAAAATATGTATAATCAATTATGATTCAATAAAAATTTTTAAAAAGAAAAGAAAAATGAAAAGCGCCTCAGAGACCTGTGGGACACAATCAATTAAATGCACATCATAAAAGTCCTGGAAGGAGAGGAGAAAGAGAAAGGGGACGAAAGAGGATCTGAAGAAATTATGGCCAAAACTTCCCATCGTTGATGAAAAACTTTAATCTACACATTCCCAAAAAGCTCAGAGAACTTGAAGTAGTATAAACTCAAGAAGATCCACACTTAGACACATCATAATCAAACTGTTGAAAGACAAATATTCTTAAAAACAGCAAGAAAGGGCTGGACCCGTGGTGCACTCAGGAGAGTGCAGCACTTGGGAGCGCAGTGGCGCTCCTGCCACAGGTTCAGATCCTATATAGGGATGGCCGGTGCGCTCACTGGCTGAGCGCGGTGCGGGCGACACCAAGCCAAGGGTTGCGATCCCCTTACCGGTCACGAAAAAGACAAAAAAAAAAAAAAGAATTCTAGGGCTGGCCAGTTTGCTTGGTTAGATCACGGTGTTGAAAACACCAAAGTCAAGGGTTCAGATCCCTATACTGGCCAGCTGCCAAAAAAAAAGAATTCTATATCAGAAGAACTATCTTTCAAACATGAAGGAGAAATTAAGATATTCCCAGATATCAAAAGCTGAGATGGTTAGTTGCAAGCACTAAGAGAAAAAATGATGGGAGTCTTTTGGGCTTATAGTAAAGGATGCTAAACAATAACTCAAATTCTCATAAAGAAATAAAAAAACTAAAGATAACTACATAGGTAAATGAAAAAGGTAAATATATTTATTTATTTGAAATAAATGTATTTTTTGTTTATAACTCTTTCTCCCTCCCACTCCATCTTATTTAAAAGACAAATGCATAATGCAATAATTATAAATCTAGGGCCGGCCCGGTGGCGCACTGGATAGTGCGCCGCTTGGGAAGCACAGCGGCGCTCCCGCCCGAGGGTTCGGATCCCACATACAGACCAGTTCCCCCTCGCTGGCTGAGCGAGGCGCGGGAGCAACACCGAGGGTTGCGATCCCGTTGCCGGTCCCCGGTCCGGTACGGGGGCAACACTGAGGGTTGCGATCCGTTGCCGGACACGGAAAAAGACAAAAAGACAAAAATAATAATAATAATAATAATTACAAATCTAAGTTGATGGCCAATGTATGAAGATGTGATTTGTGACAATAACAACAGAAGGGAATGTGGAAGATAAATGAAGCTATAGAGAAGCAATTTTTAAATACTATTGAAATTAAATTGGTATTAATACAAACTAGATTTTTGTAAATTAAGATATTCATAGTAATCCTCAGTGCAACTAGTTACTCAGAAGTATATAAAAGAAAGTTGGCTTGGTTGGTTAGTGTTTGGTGTTATATCACCATGGCCAAGAGCTCAGATCCCCATACCAGCCAGCTACCAAAAAAAAATTCCTCTTATTATTTCTTTTATATACTTCTTTTTTTTTTTGGTGGCTGGCTAGCCCCAATAAGAGGATGTAAATGACACACTAGGAAATATCTATTTAACAAAAGAAGGGAATAATGAATATGATAATAATAATGATTTGTCATCATATATTTTACACAAATAATGATAGTCAACACTGTATCCCCAAAATATGTGTAATTGATTATGCTTCAATAAAAAACAAAAACAAAAGAAGGGAATAATCAAAGAGTTGAGGAACAAAAAAGGCATAAGACATAGCAAAATGGCAGACATAAATTCTACCTTATTACTAATTACATTAAATATAAGTGGATTAAACTCTTCAATTAAAAATCATAGATTGGCATAATGGACCAAAACAAACAAACAAAAACAAAAAGGTCCAACAGTATGCTGTATACAAGAGAAACATTTTAGACTCAAAGACACAAACAGATAGGAAATGAAAGGATGGAAAAAAAACACATATCATACTAACCAAAAGAGGGCTGGAGTGGCTATCCTAATATCAGACAAAATAGACATGACAAAAATTCTTACCAGAAGCAAAGAAGGACATTCTATAATGATCAAAGTATCAATCCACCAAAAAGATACAATAATTGTTAACAACTAATAACACCTAACAAAAGGGTTCCTAAATACATGAAATAAAAACTGACAGAACTGAAGGTAGAAATAGACAATTCAATAATAATAGTTGGAGGCTTTAATATCCTACTTTCAATAACAGGTAAAACAACTAGACAAAAGATCAGCAAAGCAATAGAACAGCAACAGTATAAACCAAATAGACCTAAAAGACATCTACAGAACATATCACTACCAACAATAGCACATACATTCTTCTACAGTGTACATGGAAAATTATCCAGGATATACCAAATGTTAGGCCATAAAACGAATCTCAAGAATTGCAGAAGTCATATGAAGTATGTTTTCTTGTAGAGGATTCATAAAGCAAATGTACTTCACAGGGCCTGGTTTTCCAAAGCCTTGCAGTTTCAAATATTGACCTTGCAAAGGATGGGAAATTTTCCTCAGGCTATAAAGTCTCTGGTGTAAGATAAAGAATTGTGGCACATCAAGGTTGCTGGCTCAAACACAGACTAGTTACTGATTGATATGTATAGATACTGGGAAGCTGCTGGAGGGAGAAGAAATGTTTGATAGATCAAGCTTTTGTTGGTGGATCACTTAATTGTCTAAGGGAATGTCATCTGACTTGTTTTTACTGAATGTTACCAGCTTCTATTGTTAAACTTGTTAAACAGTACTTAGCAA